AGCAACAAGAAAGTAAGCTAATATATAAAACTCTCACTATACATATTTATTTAAAACTTTGATATTATATAATTATTATAAATTTAAAATATGTTTAGGCTAAAGAAAAGCCGGGACATAAAGTGAATGTTGATGATGCCATTGTATTCTTACGTACAAGTAGTAACRGCACAGAAGGCACTGAAAATGTTTTTGAGCTCAGCTTAAACCAGGCTGTTGTGGGTGGTGGTTCTATTCACCAGAATAATAGTGATGGTACATCAGGACTTTCTACTAATAGCAAACTTAATAAAGTTACACAACTGACTGGATTTTCCGATCCAGTGTATGCTGAGGCTTATGTTCATGTCAATCAGTATGATATTGTTTTGGATGTATTGATTGTTAATCAAACAGGTAAAAATTAATTTTAAGTTAAATAYGAACACATGAGTTATCTATAATTGTAATAAATATTAATATATAATGTTACATATAAGGTGATACATTACAAAATTGTACGCTCGAGTTGGCCACAATGGGAGATCTGAAATTGGTTGAAAAACCACAACCTGTTGTTTTGGCTCCTCACGATTTCTGTAATATCAAAGCCAGTGTTAAAGTGGCATCTACTGAAAATGGCATAATCTTTGGAAACATTGGTAAATTAAATGAGTTTTTCTTTTATATCTTATGTTAGTTATTATTTATTATTTAAATGTTCTAGTGTATGATATTGGTGGTGCAATTGGTGATCGAAATGTGGTTGTATTAGATGACATCCGTATAGACATAATGGACTACATAATGCCTGCTGTATGTAACGACTCTGAATTCCGTCAAATGTGGACTGAATTTGAGTGGGAGAACAAAGTATAATCTTTTTTGTGTTTGTGCTAAAGAATTTAGGTTTAWACTAATTATTGTTTTAGGTTTCTGTTTCTACCAGTTTGACAGACCTTAATGAATATTTGGCGCATTTATTGAAAAGCACTAACATGAAATGTTTAACTCCAGAAAAAGCATTGTCTGGACAGTGTGGATTTATGGCAGCAAATTTATACGCGAGGTCAATATTCGGCGAAGATGCTCTTGCAAATTTAAGTATTGAAAAAGGATTAGATAAGCCTCAAGTCATTGGACACATTAGAATTCGAGCTAAAAGTCAGGTAATTACAAAATTTTATTTATTCTCACAATTGCTAATATTTTTAAGTTAAAATTGAAAATTAGCTTATGCATTTTATGGTTTTTAGTTTTTGTGAAAAATGTATAATCATTCTATTTTTACACTGATCATGATTCATATAATATCTAAACTTAATAATTATGTCATGTTATTATGAACTTTAGTGAATGAATTATTGAAAACAAATATTTTGTTGTAGATAATAGGTACCTGGTACATAGAATACTGTTATAATAGAATATTATTTATGTAGTACCTAAACAATATTCTATTATGGTAAAACTGAGTCATTGGTTTTAAAAGTATTTTAAACTATGGAAAAAAAATATTAATCTATTCATCACAAACATATTTTTCTGTTTTTTTTTGGTGTTAAGATTAATCTGAGACAAATTTGAGGAGTTAGGTTTTCAAATATCAAGCTGCATAATAATATATAATATATAATACACACATACATATATATATATATGTATTTCAAAAATATTTTTCATAATTATGATGTGGTCTTGTAGTTATGCCAAGTTATTCAACTCTCATATTTATGTGAATATAATTAAGTTCAAGTAATTTTAGCTGGAAAAAATTTAAAACGTATTATTGTTGATTAGGATTCTTTGAGTTTTAAAAACATGTTTGATCCGTCCAAATAAGAATGTAATCTTTAATATTAAACTTCAAGTTTATTATAATTGATTTTGCAACAAGCCAGAAATAATGTTGGAGTAGTGGAGTTTTAATGAATTTCATATTTAGATGTTGCCTTACCCGTACGTGTTGCTCCATCTCACAAACATACTACATCAAAACTATTTTTGTGTGGACAACTTAACTCCCTCTGTATTTATGGTAGAATTACCAAAATACACATAAGGAAGAACTTTAACTGTTTCTTACAATTTGTATTTAATCGATAGCATTAAAAATTAATTTTTAATAATTAAATGAAAAGAAATAATAATAAATAATTTTGAACTGATAACTTTAATTGTATTTATGTGTATTGTATTTATTTACACAGGTAATATGTCAAACTTAATCTCAATCCTTAAACTGATGGGTGTTTAACCCTAAGCGTTTTAAAATGTAGGTAATTATGCTAGAAATACTACAGAAGAAGAAAATTTGTCCCACACAAAACATTTTATATTATGTTTTACATAAATATAAGACAAAGACAAACATAGATATGCTGTCCTCTTAATGTACATATAAAATATGTGTTTTAATTTATTTTGTCATTACTCATTACATATTATCCATTATAAAATCTCTGATATTAAATATATATTAATAAACTAATTCTAATGTACGTATTATKTTTAAAATAGCTTGGGACTGAATTTCTTGACATTTTTTGTTAGTGAATACTTTTACATAACTCTAAAATGCATGTAGAATAGTTTGGGAAATGATACTTTAATAATGRAATTCCGTAATAATTAACAATCAACATTGAAACTCGAAATATTAGGTATACACGGATTACTGATAAAATTACAATGGCTTACAGTTGAATGTAAAACTAAGACATAGTATACCAAATTTAATATCATATAGTAACTATTAAATAACTTAATAGTTTATATAGAATGACTATTTTGGCATTTCCACATATCAGCTAAATATTTTTTAAATGTTAAACAAATTCAGAATAATTACAATTTTTGCACTGTTTATGACTATTAAAATAAACAAATAAGCTAGCAGATTGTGAATATTCTTAAGCAGTGTAAATAAATTTAAGTTGTGATTATATTAAAACAAAAAACAATATATACAACTATTGAGGACTGTTAAAAAATAGTTTAAAATCTATGTTTAGTT